GAAGAGACGCGTGAATCGATAGCAAATAATGTTTCATCTTTAGTGGGATTTGGCTTGAAAACTGCACGATTTCTGGGAAATGCATTTTGGGTTTTAACAACTTCCGCCATAATTTTGGTTATACCTTTAGCGTTGGAACTTGAAAAAGAGCACCAAATTATCCAACTTGAAAATGAACAAAAAGCCTTAGTGATTATCAGTTTATTAGTATTTATAAGTTTCTTTTTTAAAGCCAAAATCTTTGTCTTAACAATGTTTAAATGTTTATTTTAGATGAGTGGTCAACCTAACAACTCTTATGGACAACCGGGCCAAATTAGTCCTTTTGGAGCACCGGGGCAACCCCAACAACAACAGCGAGTGTTGCCTCCCGGATTTAACTAGCCAGAAAGTCCTCTCAATTTCCTTATTTCTTCCAATTGAAAAATGAACAAATTTTCTATTTCAACGTCTTGTCATTAAATAGCATTGTTGGCATTGTTAATTGAATAAAATGTTATTAACACAATTAGATACGATCTTGGTAATTGAAATCCGTTATTATTTCGTACAAATGTTTACGTATTCGAATAATTCAAGATTGACAACAGAAATCCGAGTTGTATGCTCTCTTAAGAACATCCTTGAATTAGGGGTCTACATACTGCATAAGTTGCATTCTTAGAATTGCTTTAACTGACCCGTTGAATTGTAAATTGGTCGTGAAAAAGATAACTTTCCTAAATGAACTATTATTTTGTTAACTCTACGTAACCCTAATGCGAATGCTATTAACAGTAATAATCTTAAAGAATATTTGTCTACGCTACAAAGCCGGCTTACAGATTCTCTGCAGATACATGCACAAACTATTATGTAATTATATTGCAGATTAAAATATCACCCCGTTTCTTATAGATTATCTTAGAGAAATTTACAGGTCACCTGTTATCCCCATTCCTTCTTTATTATATAGATATAATTAATATCATAATTACATGAGTTGATTGAATAAAACAAAAAAAAATGTAATTAAGATATACTAATTTCTAGTGGGAACCTTTATTGACGTATGAAAAGATAGTCGCCATTTTATGACATCGAAGAACATCATCATCCGACAAACGGTGGGAAGCAAATTCATTTTTGATAGTATCAAAAATTATGTTTAATAATTCTGGCTCAATCATTGAAGAAATTCCGCTTGTTATATTTTGTTCGAATAAAAATATATGATTCAATGAACTACAACAATTATAAGTATTTTAGAAAAGAAACAAATCAAACACATAAAAAAATTGGAAATTTAGAAATTACAGTATTTCAGCAACATCATCAATTCTATTTTCAAAACCTGCATATCACGATATTCTAATAGTAGACTTGAAATATCGAGCTCGTTGATAACCCGCTGCATATATAAGAAGAAATTAAAGTCTCTTCTCTAAATAAACTAAATAGTAGTCGAATACTACCTTTTTGCATCCTCACTTAATGAAGATTTATAACATCAGGTCCCGTAAACCAATTAAGTGAATAATTGTTTTTTTTTATTTTTACTTCATCAGTTTTAAATATATTCTATACTCGTTATTTGACGTTTTAAGATTTTATCATAACCAAAAATTCTTTCTAATGTTAAATTGATATAAATCCAGACTTCTTCAGGGCTTTTGTTGGTTAATTTATTTAAAATTTGACTTAATAAATTCGATTGCTCATCTTGTTCATCTGAACTTGGATGATAAAATGAATTATTTTCATCAGTCTCATTAGGTGTCCCAGATACAACAAAAGGATTTTTGGATCATCC